CATTATCATCATTCTTCCTCCTCCTCCTCTTCTTCTTCTTCTTCCTCCTCTCTCATCTTCCTTTCTTCCTTCCCTCGCAGGTCTCTTCCACGGAGTCATCGGCGAGAGCGGGTCGGCCCTCGAGCACTGGTCCCACTCCCCCTCCTCCTCTTCCTGTTCTTCCTCCTCCTCCTCCTCTTCTTCCTCCTCTTCATCTTCCTTTCTTCCTCTCCGCAGGTCTCTTCACGGAGTCATCGGCGAGAGCGGGTCGGCCCTCGAGCACTGGTCCCACTCCCCCACCTCCTCTTCCCCTCCTCCTCCTCTTCTCTTCTTCTTCTTCTTTCTTCCTGTCTTCTTCTTCTTCCTCCTCCTCTCTCCTTCTCCTTCTTCCTCGTCTTCCTTCTCTTCTGCACCTCTCCTCCTCGTCGTCCTCGTCTTATTATTATCATTATTCATTCCCTCCTCCTCCTCCTCTTCTTCTTCTTCTTCCTCCTCTCTCATCTTCCTTTCTTCCTTCCCTCGCAGGTCTCTTCCACGGAGTCATCGGCGAGAGCGGGTCGGCCCTCGAGCACTGGTCCCACTCCCCCTCCTCCTCTTCCTGTTCTTCCTCCTCCTCCTCTTCTTCTTCTTCTTCTTCTTCTTCCGTGTCCTCGTCTTCTTCTTCTCCTCCCTCCTCCTCTAATTCTTTCTTCCTCTTCCTCGTCTTCTTCTTCTTCTGCCACCTCCTCTCCTCGTCCTCTTCTTCTTCTTCTTCCTCGTCTTATTATTATCATTTATCATTCTTCCTCCTCCTCCTCTTCCTGTTCTTCCTCCTCCTCCTCCTCTTCTTCTTCCTCCTCTTTCATCTTCCTTTCTTCCTCTCCTCGCAGGTCTCTTCCACGGAGTCATCGGCGAGAGCGGGTCGGCCCTCGAGCACTGGTCCCACGACCCCGACCCGGTCCTGTCCGCCGAACTCCTCGGGGAAGCCAACGGGTGCCCGACGGACGACCACCAGGCTCTGTACGACTGCATGATGAGCAAGTCGGCTGATGACATAGCGATGACGATGGATCATTTCGTGGTAGGTGGATGGGACGGGGGGGAAGGGAGGGAAGGAGGAGTGGGAGGGGAGGAATGGAGGAGGTGGGAGGGAGGCGAAGGAAGGGGAGGAATAAGGAGGAGGTGGGAGGGAGGAGTAGGGAGGGAAGGGAGGAGGCAGGGAGGGGAAGGGAGGTAGGGAGGGAAGGGAGGAGGGAGAGGGAGAAGAGAAGGGGGGAGGAATAAGGAGTAGGGGAAGGCAGGGAGGGAGGGGAGGAAGGAGAAGGTATGGAATGGAACAGGGAAAAAGAGGGGAAGGGAGATAGGGAGGAGGAAGAAGGAAGGGGAAGGGAGGAGGGAGGGAAGGAAGGAGGGAGGAGGGGGAAAGAAGGTGGGAAGGGCGACAGGGAGGAAGAGGGGGAGGGGGGTAGGGAAGAGGGGAGGAAGGAGGAGAGGGGAAGGAAGGGAAATGGAAGACGGGGGAAATGAAAGAGAAAAGAAAAATGAGATGAAGGGGGAGAAGGAGAACGAAAAAAGGGAGGGAAATGAATGGGAGAAAAAAGTATTTTGTTTATTTATGATATCGTTTTGTACATCTACGGAGTCTAGATCAATGGACGTTTAATTAATATAGGATTGTTTGAGTTGATGATAGAATATATTGTAAGTATTGTACAGTAGTAGATGCACGAACAATCAGTCAGTCATATGAACATAAAACAAACAAAATTATAAATCTATGCAAACAATGTCATGCTAATATATTATCTGTCTTCTCTCCCTCCCCCTCTTCTCCTCCCCTCCCTACCCGCTTCCCCAACCACCCACGCCCATGTCTCTCCCCCACCACCTACCCCTACTCATTTGCGTCTCTCCCTCCACACCACCCTCCCTCCCTCTCCACACACACACACCCTCTCCCTCCACCTACCCCTCTCCCCCCCACCCACGCCCCTCTCTTCCCCTCCCCACGCTCCTCTCTCCCCTCCCCCTCCACACACACCCTCCCACCTCCCACATACCCCACCACCCCCGCTTCTCCTCTCCTTCCCCTCTCTTCCCCCCCCTCCACCCACGCCCTCTCTCCCCCCCTCCTCCGTACCCCCCCACCAGTCCGAAGACCGTCAGCGGGGCGAGATGGGGTTCCGCGGCGCCGCCCCCGTCACGCAGAAGGAGGGGCTCGCAGGAACTCTGGTGACGAAGCTGCCCGAGGAGTACTTCGCCGACGGGGATGTGGCCGACGTCCCCCTCATGATCGGCGCCAATAAGCACGAGGGGTCCTTCGTGCTCGGGAGTGAGTTGAGACGAAGTTCGAGGAGTAGGGACATGGATCCTCGAGTTGAGGTTGAGAGAGGTTAGGACATGGATCCTCGAGTTCTTCATGGATCCTTCGAGTTGAGGATGAGGTTGAGTTCGAGTTGGGAGAGTTTGAGTTCGAGGATTAGCATGGATCCCTCGAGTTGAGGACGAGGTTGAGTTCGAGGATTAATGGATCCTCGAGTTGAGGACGAGGTTGAGTTCAAGGAGTAGGACATGGATCCTTCGAGTTGAGGACGAGGTTGAGTTCGAGGATTAGGACATGGATCCTTCGAGTTGAGGACGAGGTTGAGTTCGAGGATTAGGACATGGATCCTTCGAGTTGAGGACGAGGTTGAGTTCGAGGAGTAGGACATGGATCCTTCGAGTTGAGGACGAGGTTGAGTTCGAGGATTAGGACATGGATCCTCGAGTTGAGGACGAGGTTGAGTTCGAGGATTAGGGACATGGATCCTCGAGTGAGGACGAGGTTGAGTTCGAGGATTAGGACATGGATCCTTCGAGTTGAGGACGAGGTTGAGTTCGAGGAGTAGGACATGGATCCTTCGAGTTGAGGATGAGGGAGTTCAAGGATAGGACATGGATCCTCGAGTTCGAGGTGAGTTAGGAGTAGGATGGATCCTTCGAGTCGAGGACGAGGTTGAGTTCGAGGATTAGGACATGGATCCTTCGAGTTGAGGACGAGGTTGAGTTCAAGGAGTAGGACATGGATCCTTCGAGTTGAGGACGAGGTTGAGTTCAAGGAGTTAGGACATGGATCCTTCGAGTTGAGGATGAGGTTGAGTTCGAGGAGTAGGACATGGATCCTTCGAGTTGAGGATGAGGTTGAGTTCGAGGATTAGGACATGGATCCTCGAGTGAGGACGAGGTTGAGTTCGAGGATTAGGACATGGATCCTGCGAGTTGAGGACGAGGTTGAGTTCGAGGAGTAGGACATGGATCCTTCGAGTTGAGGACGAGGTTGAGTTCGAGGAGTAGGACATGGATCCTTCGAGTTGAGGATGAGGTTGAGTTCGAGGATTAGGACATGGATCCTGCGAGTTGAGGACGAGGTTGAGTTCGAGGATTAGGACAGGATCCTCGAGTTGAGGACGAGGTTGAGTTCGAGGATTAGGACATGGATCCTTCGAGTTGAGGACGAGGTTGAGTTCGAGGATTAGGACATGGATCCTTCGAGTTCAGGATGGGTTTGAGTTCGAGGATTAGGGTATGGATCCTTCGAGTCGAGGACGAGGTTGAGTTCAAGGAGTAGGGAGTGATTTGAGGATTAACATAGGGTTAAGAATTTATTTATCTATCTATTCATTTATCTATTTTGGGAGGAGATTGATAAGGTGCCAGTAAACACGAGGGGTCCTTCGTTCTATGAAACTACAAAAAAATAATATACCAGTATTAAAAATGCATTTTAAAACTTGTAACATATACTTTATAAATCTTATAAACTTATATATGCATGATAAAGAGAAAAACGACTTATTGTATATAAAATTTGATTGATAAATATTTCCTAATAAAACTAAAATTATATATATATATAGATATACAGATATATACATACATATATATAAATATAATATAATATATATATATATATATATATATATATATATATATATATATATATATATATGTTGTGTGTGTGTGTGTGTGTGTGTGTGTGTGTTGTGTGTGTGTGTGTGTGTGTATTTTTTTTTTTTTTTTTTTGGCTAAACAAATCTGAGCTTATAACCTGTCACTAATGGAACCGAAATTCATTAAATTGTGTCTTAATTCTAATCAAACATAACATGTGCCTCAGAATTACACTTTGACCTGTTCTTTAATTTATATCAGTTTGCGGCTCACAAATGAACTTAAAATATTTAACTATAACCACGCTTATAACTTTGTGACATAAAATCAAACATAATTTGTGCCTAAACTTAAATCAAACTTACAAAATGTGCCTCATAAGATTGAACTTATAACCTGTAGCCTAACTAAATCAGACTCACAACTTAACTATAATCAAACCGTCTGCCTCACAAAATTGACCTTTAATCACGTACTCAATAAAGCTCAAATACTTACAACCAACCCACAGAATACCTTTTAAAAGCTGACTTGCCCATTTCTAACCAACCACAGAATACCTTTTTAAAAGCTGACTTTGCCCATTCTAACCAACCCACAGAATACCTTTTTAAAAGCTGACTTTTGCCCATTTCTAACCAACCCACAAATACCTTTTTGACTTTGCCCATTTTAACAACCCACAGAATACCTTTTTTAAAAGCTGACTTTGCCCATTTCTAACCAACCCACAGAATACCCTTTTAAAAGCTGACTTTGCCATTTCTAACCAACCACAGAATACCTTTTTTTAAAGCTGACTTTGCCCATTTCTAACCAACCACAGAATACCCTTTTAAAAAGCTGACTTTGCCCATTTCTAACAACCCACAGAATACCTTTTTAAAAGCTGACTTTTGCCCATTTCTAACCAACCCACAGAATACCTTTTTAAAAGCTGACTTTGCCCACTTTCTAACCAAACAGAATACCTTCTTAAAAGCTGTTTTGCCCATTTCTAACCAACCCACAGAATACCTTTTTAAAAGCTGACTTTGCCTTCTAACCAACCCACAGAAAACCCTTTTAAAGCTGATTTTGCCCATTTCTAACCAACCCACAGAATACCTTTTTAAAAGCTGACTTTGCCCACTTCTAACCAAACAGAATACCTTCTTAAAAGCTGACTTTGCCCACTTCTAACCAACCCACAGAAAACCCTTTTAAAAGCTGACTTTGCCCATTTCTAACCAACCCACAGAATACCTTTTTAAAAGCTGACTTTGCCCACTTCTAACCAAACAGAATACCTTCTTTAAAGCTGATTGCTGAACTTGCCCACTTTTTTAAAAGCTGACTTTGCCCACCAAACAGAATACCTTCTTAAAAGCTGACTTTGCCCACTTCTAACCAACCCACAGAATACCTTTTTAAAAGCTGACTTTGCCCACTTCTAACCAAACAGAATACCTTCTTAAAAGCTGACTTTGTCCATTCCTTCCAGTTATGTACACTGCCTATCTCGTCCCTAATGAATACATGGACGATGATGTCTATAAACGGGAACAGATGCTGACGGACCTGCTCAACGCCTTCGGTATGTCATCTTTGTAGTTTTTTTCATTCATTTTTTTCCATTTTTCTTTATTTTGTTTTATTTTATATTCGTTTTTTTTTTTTTTTTGCATTTGTTTTTAGTTTCTTCAATGGTTGGTTTATTGAATATATGTGTTCTCTTTCCTTTTTTTATCAGCATCCTTCTTTTCATCTTTCCTTTATGAACCGCCCTCTTTTGTGCTTTCTTTTATTAACCTCCTCCTCTCCCCCCATCCTTCATCAACCTCCTCCTCCTCCTTCCTTTATCAACCTCCTTCGCTCATCCTTTCCTTCATCAATCTCCTTTTCTCCATTCCTTTATCAGTATCCTGGCTGGCGCAGCGGTAAGGTGCTGGTCTAGCAATCTTGCGGACCAGCGTTCAATCCCACGCCCGGCCAGTGAGTGGTAACCCCGGCCACTCCTTGCACACAGGGGGAGATTTGGGCAAAATAAAACAGACAGCATGTCACGGCAAAGAATATCCACTGTAACAAATGGAATTAAAACTAAATCTTAAATATCTCCTCCCATCCTCTGTCAACCTTCTTCTCTCCCCTTCCTTCATCATCTCAGCCCCTTCTCTCCCCCCTTCCTTCATCAGCCTCCTTCTCCCCCCCTCCTTCATCAGCCTCCTTCTCTCCCCCAGGGGTGTCGGACCAAACGCACGGAATGGCGGAGTCGATCGAGGATGCCTACCTCATGGGCGTCGACCCGGCAGACTTCGAGACCGCGGCGCCAGGACTCGTCGACGTATGTGTCTGTCTGGCTGTCTGTCTGTCTGTTTTTCTGGTTGTTTGTCTGTCTGTTTTTCTGTTTTCTGTCTGTACTGTCTGTTTGTTGTCTGTTTTTCTGGTTATCTGTTTGTCTGTCTGTCTATCTGTCTGTTTGTCTGTCTGTCTGGTTGTTTGTCTGTCTGTTTTTCTGGTTTTCTGTCTGTCTTTTCTGTCTGTCTGCCTGTCTGTTTGTCTGTCTGTTTTTCTGGTTATCTGTTGTCTGTCTTTTTCTCTGTCTATCTGTCTGTTTGTCTGTCTGTCTGGTTTTCTGGTTGTTTGTCTGTCTGTTTTCTGTCTGTCTGTCTGTCTGTCTGTTTTCTGGTTATCTGTTTGTCTGTCTTTTGTCTGTCTATCTGTCTGTTTGTCTGGTTTTCTGGTTGTTTGTCTGGTTGTCTGTTGTCTGTCTGTCTCTTTGTCTGTCTGCCTGTCTGTTTTCTGGTTGTTTGTCTGTCTGTCTGTTCTCTGTTTGTCTGTCTGTTTTTCTCGGATTTCTGGTTGTTTGTCTCTGTTTGTCTGTCTCTATCTATCTGTCTCTTTGTCTCTCTTTGTATCTATTTATATGCTTATTTATCTCTCTGTCTGTCTGTCTGTGTGTGTGTCTCTCTCTCTCACTCTTCTCTCACCCCCTACCCCTCTTCCTCACTCTTCCCTCTCTCACCTCCCACTCCTCCACCCCTCTTCCTCTCACTCCCCACCCTCTTCCTCACTCTCACCCCTCCCCACCTTCCTCCTATCCCCCCTCCCACCCCTCCTTATCTCACCCTCCTCCTTCCTCTGCCTCCCAGATGGCCCGCGTGTTCTTCCTTCCTCTCTTACTCTTACTCTCACCCCTCCTTATCTCACCCTTCTCCCTTCCTTTTTACTCCCAGAAGGCCGGCGTGTTCTTCCTCTCTCTCTCACTCTTCCTCTCACCCCTCCTTATCTCACCCTCCTCCTTCCTCTTCCTCCCAGATGGCCGGCGTGTTCTTCCTTCCCCTCTCTCTCAATCTTCCTCACCCTCCTCCTTCCTCTTCCTCCCAGATGGCCGGCGTGTTCTTCCTTCCTCTCTCTCTCACTCCTTATCTCACCCTCCTCCTTCCTCTTCCTCCCAGATGGCCGGCGTGTTCTTCCTGAAGGCGGGCGCGTGGAGGACGGCCAAACTCCACGCGAACGGGACCTCGGCGGGGACGTTCGTGTTCGACTATGGACGACGTTCGTGTATCATCCGACGACAGCATGTTCCGCTGGCTTTTCATGGGTTATGGGGCCATGCCTTTCAGACCA